TTTTTTTTTTTTTTTTTTTTGGTACCGGGGATTGAACTTGGGTCCTTGCGCTTGCAAGGCAGGCCACCGAACCACTGAGCTAAATCCCCGGCCCTTTACTTTAGATTTTGAAACAGGGTCTCTCTAAATTGCTGAGTTACCCAGGCTGGGCTCAAACTTGTAATCCTCCTGCCTCAGCCTCCCAAAGTGCTGGGATTACAGGCATATGCCACCATGCCTGGCAAATGATGTTTTAATAAACTTATCTGGTATTTTCATGGGAATACCAGATTTTATAGTTCAGTATCTCTTCCAGGAAAAATAAAAAACTATTAGATATTCCTTGTTTAACAACCAAATTACAGTCCTATGCCTCAGCCATTAAATGAATTGGTTGCTAAATGAAGAACTATATATAAATATGTATGCTACAGTATTCAATACAAAGAAATGGTCTAAGGGAACTCCCACTTTGTGACTTTACTTTTATTTGCATAACTCTCATGTGCAGTACTATAATATATAATAGAACATAAAACTACAGTACTATACTGTAAAATCTGAAAAAAATTACAGCATGTACAAAAAAGAGACACTAAGGGTCTATAAACAAGATGTACAGAACCACACAAAAAAAGATGGGTCATAAGTCCAAGCAGTGAGCTGTAAGTACAAACAGTCATGAAATAGGTCATTAAAACAAGGAGTATCTGTATTTTTATAAATATTTTATCTCAATTTATGAAACAGTAGCAAGGCTAAAACAGTGTTTCAATTTAATTGAATGAGATGTGTGTGTCTTTTGCTGCACCAGGGATAAACCCAGGGCCTTCACTCTGACACATATCCCCCTCAAAACAAGAGTCTCACTCAGTCACTAACCTGCCCAGCCTGGACTTCACAAAAATGCAAAAATCCCTTTAAAGCATAGTATCTTAGCTGGGTACAGTAAAGATGCCTATAGTCCCAGCTACTCTGGAGGCTGAGGTAAAATGATGACAAGTTGAAGGCCAGCCTGAGCAAAAAGACAAGATGCTATCTCAAAAAACTAAAATTAAAAGTTCAATATTATACCCTCTCATTCTTCTATGCTTAATAAACTTATCTCATAACTCACAGAAACAAATTCACATCTTAAAGTCTAGTATCTTTGTTTCATTTATTTTAAAAGGAAATAATCTACCAGCTAAAGTGCAACGCAGAGGAAATTTAGGAAGATGTGTACAGATATACAAATAAAATAACAAATAATAAAACCAACAGGACTTCAAACTTCCACTACTATGCCACCAGCTTAAATAAATTTTATTGCCCAGTCTATAGCAAAAAAAAAAAAAAAAAAAAAAAAAAAAAAACCAAACCAAAAAAAACAATATCTATAAGGGGTGGTTTATCTCTTCCTCTCTTATAACACAGGAAAAGTTCTGGGCTTTTGAGACTTCCATAATTCAAGTTTGCTTGGAGAGCTGAGGGAGTGGCTTCCACACATGTGTAACCTTCCGGTACTGCTTCCCCAGCTGATTTGATAATAATGGCAATGTCTGTAATTGGAGCTTTAGGCCCAGCTGACTTAGTATCCAAACGATTTATTTCTTGATCCAAAAGAGTAGATGTGTCAGTGAGACCTGCCACAACAAAGTAGTCTGTCACTCTTGGTCCTTTGTCTTCTATCATGGCTGGTATTTTATTTCCTAAAAGAAAGGTTGGAAGAAATGATATCAATTGAATGAAACAGTTTAACATTACTCACTGAAATTAAAACATCCTTGAGTTAACAATAATCAATGAGAACATTCCCAGGTAAATTCACAGTCAAACTGACACCTTATAGAATGTTGCTTTTATCACGCTTTCAACTTCCTGTTACAAAGCATGTTAAATTTTAACACAACTATGATCGTTTCATGTGCTTCATTCTCTATGAAGTGTCAAGAGATGGCTTATGAGTGTTGCCCTTTAAGCAAAATACACTTAATGAACTATACACTCAGACCATATTTTTTTAAATGTCTTTTAAATTATAGTGGTCCTAGAGTTAAAACTTCACATTCAAACAAACAACATGAATGTTTCATGGACTAGTCAATATCTAACACAGAAAAATAAAGGAAATGGGCTGTCAAATTTCCTTTTTTTTTTTTTGGTATGGGGGATCGAACTCAGGACCTTGCACAGGCAGGTCCAATGCCATTAAGCTAAATCCCCAGCTCACATTAAATATTTCATTTATAAATACCAGACAGAGCACAAGAAACTTCATCCAAAAAAGACAAAATAAACATAAAAAATACATTAAGGGATCAAGTACTACATGGTAGAGAATAAGAATGCTGAGTCCAGATGCTGTATGTGTGGGGTAGTGGAGTTGAACCCAGGGGTTCACACAAGGGACTGCCACTGAGTTTCCTCTCCAGTCCTTTCTTTTATTTTTGAGACATGCTCTCAGACTAGCTACAAACTTCTGATACCTCTTCCCTCAGCATCACAAGTAGTTGGGACTATAGGAGTGTGCTACCACATCTGACAAGTCAAGATTTCTATTGGCTTTAAACCCAAAATCTGTAAAAACAAAATCAAGCTCCTGAAGTTTTAAATATTTTCCATGGATTTTATGTACTTTATAGAAACAATTTTACTGAGGGACAGGGATTTAGCTCAGTGGCTCCACCGCCTGCCTCACAAGTGCAAGGTACAGAGTTCAATCCTTGGTACCACAAACAAACAAACAAACAAAAACACAAAACAAAACAACAAAAAAAAACAATTTTATTGAGATCTCATTTAAACATACAGTATAATGAATACATATACTGTATTCTATCTCTCCATAACCTCTCCTCCCCAAGCAATAAATGAGCTGTTTTCTATCCTTATAGACTAGCTTCTAGAATTTGTATAAATGGAACAATAAAGTATGTATTCTTTTTTGGGGGGGAGTCTGGCTTCTTTTACTCATTATAATTATTAAGATTCACCCATGTTGTTCCCTTTATCAATGGACTTATGCTTTTAAATATTCCATTCTTAGAATGGAATGGCTAGATTATCTGATAGGTATATGTTGTTCTGAAAAATACAAATAGGTTTCTAAAGTAAGCATACCATCTTAACATTCCTACCAACATCCCATGAAGGCTCATATTTTTCAACACTTTATAGTCAGTCTTCAGACATTCTAAATTCTATGTAGTACATAATAGGTATGTAACGGTATCAAACTGTGGTTCCAATCTGCATCTCTCTGATGATAATGATGTTGAGCACATTTCCCAGTTGTAAGCCACAGAATGATACCTGAATCAACAGCAGACTGCAAAATGACAGCACTCCCTAAGGGTATATCATTTAGTGACCTTATATCTATGTCCTTATAGCCATCTTAGTTTATAAAACTACATTCTATGATTACAGAACAACAAAACTGCCTACTCCAAATAATTCTTAGAATATATCTTTGTTGAAAAGGCTGTACTTGCTTTCCTTTCTTTCTTTCTTTTCTTTTTTTTTTTTTTTTTTTTTTTTTTTGGTGTTTTGAGACAGGGTCTCACTATGTAGTTAAGATTGACCTGGAACTCACTATGTAGTCCAGGCTGGCCTCGAACTCACAGCAATCCTCCTGCCTCAGCCTCCCAAGTGCTGAGATTACAGGCGTGCACCACCATGCCCAGCAATGGTTTTTAAATTTTAAAATATTTAACTCATAAATAAAAACTATAAAATATTCAAGGTGTACAATATGATGACTAGTCACTGTATGCGTCAACGACAGTTAACTGATAAAGCCATCACCTCCATAATTACCCTTTGTGTTTAGGGTAAAAAAGACTCTTAAAATCTGCTCTTAGCAAATTTCAAGTAAACAATACAGGGTTGTTAACAACAGTCACCATGTCATACAGACATCCCTGGAACTTACTTATTTTATTGCTGAAAAACATATACTCTTTGACCAACACCTCCCCATTTTCTCCCCCCGCCAAGGCCCTGCAACAACCCCTGTAATCTCTGCTTTCCTGAGTCTGACTTTTAGATCCTATGTATCAGGGAGTCTGTACCACACCTGTCTGTGTCTGGCTTTCTCTGGATAATGTCTTCCCCATTCATCCATGCTATCATTAACGACAGCAGTTCCTTCCTCTGCATAGCTGAAATTTTCCATCACATATCATAATTTTTAAAATTAATACATAATAACTGCATGTTTTTATGGGGCACAGGGTGATATTTCACTGCTTTTATACATAGGTGTTGATCAACTCAGGATATTTAGGTTTATCCACCTTTTCAAACCTCTCGTTTCTTTGCAATAAGAACATTAAAAATCCTCTCTTCTAGCTATTTTGAATTATAAAATACATTCTTGCTGACTGTCATCAACCTTCTGTGGAACACAGCACCAGGACTTATTCTTCCTATTTGGCTATGACTTTGTACCCTTCATCCTACCTATATTCTTCAGGCCCTAATAACCACTATTCTGCTCTCTACTTTTATGATTTTAGTTTTCAAAACTTCCACATAAAATAATAACAATAATACTTCCCCATGAGTTAAATAATGAGGTATCTGTCTATGCCTGGTCCACTCATGTGGCCACAAAATACAAGATTCTGTCCTTTCTGTGACTATATTTTTGTGGAATACTATATTGCACTGTAAGCACGTGGCTGTGTAAGTGTCTCACATTTTCATTCATCCTATAATAGATACTACTACCTTGGCTACTGTGAGTAATCATACAATGAACATAGCAGGTCCGGGTAGTTGCAGATATCTCTTCAAGATACTAGTCTCATTTTCTTTGGATATACACCTAGAAGTAAGATCAGACTGCGGGTCATATGGTAGGTCTATTTTTAATTATGAGGAATCCCCATACTATTTTTTAATGACTCACCAACTTACATTCCCACCAACAGTGTACAAGGGTTCACCCATGTCTACACCTTAACAAAAGCAAGGAGTGGGGGTGTAAAACAGGCTTTGGTGATTCCCTTAAATAGCATAAGGTCAGTCACAATGGCTGGGTCAGGGAACTACAAAACTGAAGTCATTTCAGATGAAATCAATTCCTCCTTCAGGACACAAAGCAATGTAATTCTCTATTGGTATTACCTGTCAATGAAAAGTTTTGTAAGGGAGTTGTAAACACAAATTCTTAAAGGAAGTCTGGTAGGATATGAGTCCTGGGAACAAAAGAACACTGGCAGCTACAAATAGTTAAATGCCAAATGAACTTGGAAAAAGCAGTACTTTTTGTTTTGTTTGAGACAGGGTCTCGCTGTGTAGTCCAGGCTGGCCTTGAACTCATGGCAATCCTCCTGCCTCAGCGTCTGGAGTGATGGAATCATAGGTGTGTGCCACCATGCCTGGCTCTTTTTTGCCTGTTCCTTACTTTGGGGGTGGGGGTTGGGAGTGGTGGTGGTAGGAGAGCAGTACTTGAGATTGAACCCAGGGCCTTCACACTGAGCTATAGCCTATCCCCCCACCCCTTTTTTTTTTTTTTTTTTTTTTT